TAGTTTAGCGCTGGAGCTAGGAGGCTAACGTTACTAACAAACACCAGAAATGAATAGACACCCAAATAGACACCCTTTTCTGTAAATACATGCCCAAAACCTATCCCAACTCACTCAAACAGGTCTTTATCAAGGTTGCACAGACTTGCTAATGTTGTTTAGTGCCCAGTATTACTTACTGGGAACTATAAAAAAATGATCAAAACTTCAGTTTTACGCAATACAGTGGGCAGACATTTTAGACAGCCTAATAATCAGCCATCTGGATGCATGGATTCTGTTTTCTTTTTATCAGCAATTGTTCATCTAAAATTTTTAACAGAAGATAAATGTTTTTCAAGTACAAACAACAGAAATTGGATTTTGGCATTGCAGCATTCAGCAACACACTGAAGTTTTGTTCATTTTTATAGATCATGAAGTCATACTGCGTTTTAAACCACATCGACAATTCTGTGCAACCTTCATGAAGATCTAGGTTTGAGAGAAATTTTGGGGGTGTACTTGCGAAAAAGATTCGGGTGATTATTGACTTCTAGTGTTTGTTAGCAACATTAGCCTTGTAGCTCCAGCAGAAAACTAAAGAAGCAAAATTTGCTGCCAAACGTGTCTTGGCTGATCGCCTCACATAATTTTTTGTCAAACCATTCCTTTAAAGTCTTTTAGATCTGAGGATTAGTATAGTAATAGTAGTCATGAGTGTGTGTGTATGTGTGCTGAAAAAAGAGGATAATTCTAATATGGCCTTATAGCATGTGAATCATAAATCCTTTCTTTGTGCTGACAAGAAGCTCTGCTTGCCTCCACCCTTTCGTGAGCATTCACAATACTAATATCTCTGCTGTAAACAGAATAAGAGAGGGAACATGGGATTCTGCATCAGTGTGACAAGTGTGCCACAATGCCTGCACTAACTTGCTCAATAAAATAATACTGAGCTCAGTCTCAGTGTCCACACAACACAGGAACAAAGGACTTTTTATTTTTCAATCCATCAGTTTTGTCAAATGGCCGTTTATTCCCCTGTACACATTCCATGTCAATAGAGGGGAAAGGATTTCTGTTCTACAACAGAAACAAGTGAGAGGGTTGGTATTGATTTGCTACCTTGTTCTTCCTTTTGTTTGGTTGGTGTGGTGTTTTCTACCTTGCACATAAGAGAATCTTACTGACAGAGAGGTTAAAGAAATACTACAGTGTGTAATCTAATCTCTAATCTGAGATAATCTATATCTAAGCAGCATCTGTAGCACTGATCGATTACCACAGACAATAATTTTGACACATTTATCTGTACTAAAAAAACTGAAAACACCTTGCCTTAAAACACACCTATAATAGAAGTCAATAGAGTCTGCACATTGGTTTCTTTTTTCCCTGTTCTTTACTAAATACAAGACAATGTATCAAAATTGTTGTCTGTAGTAACTGATCATATGTTAGAGACGCAGAAGATAAAGATTAGCGTGAAAACGCTTTTCTGTACCGGAAATCTCTTGCTTTCCGTTCTGTGCAGTGTGGAGCACCTCAGAGAAATCACTTCAGATTTACACACCACTCTCATCTTCCTCTCACTCCTCTCCATTCTTCATCTCTCTCTTTCTCTCTCTCTCTCTGCTTTTCAGTTTTGCAGTAAGCCTTTAAATCTCCCTCTTGCCCCATTTTTACACTCTTCTCTTTCTTATTCCTCCTCTTCTACTTTTCACTACATTGCTCTTCCTTTATCCCCACCCCATCAATGGTGTCCCAAACACGCCCCCCCCTTCCCTTTTTCATCCTCGTCCTACAATTGATTTCAATTGCCAGGGTGATCTGAGGCAGACAAGAGATCGTATCACACTCTTGCCCACTACCATTTCATGCACGCTCTATTCCTTTTTCTCCCTCCCTCGCATTCTCTCTCTCTCTCTCTCTCTCTCTCCCATTCTCTCTCTCTCTCTCTCTCTCTCTAGCTCTGTTACTCTCTTCTCCACTGTAAGGCTTTCTACAAACTGCTTCAGTCAGCAGTAAAGCTCTGGGGAAGAAGAAAATGGGAAGAAAGAGAGAGGGGGGAGAAAAGAGTAAGAGAGTGAGAGAGAGAGTGCAAGAGAGAAGAAAAGGGACAGAGTAAGAGAGAGAGAGAGAGAGACTGAATGGCAAAGGTAGAAAAAAGCTGCACATAAAAACACAAACACAGACAGGTAAAGACAAATGCTGTCATTTAGTTTTTGCACAACTGCATTCTTGCAGCAGCTACTCAGAGGTGGCAGAAAATGTGCGCGGATCTTAAAAGAAATATGCATACATATGGAACAGTAATTCACAGAAACATACCCATACCATTACCACAACAAAGAAAGACTAGCTTTGACTATCACATCTACTAGCAATAGCGATGGAGAGCATGTGTGTTTTGTGCATGTCTGTGTGTACTGGTAATGTAAGTGGGTGGGGGTGTTCATAAAAAAGATCTCTGTGTGTGTCTTTCTGACACGCAGCACCACTACAGGCCTGCTTAGTGCTGGTACACAGGCAAAAATGTGACATATGGACCAATCATGGTAAAGGGAAGGTCTCTGAACAAATGACATAGTGATTTGGACCTCTGTTTAATGGCTTGTGCACACTGCACTGTACAAACTCCAAAAAAACATTTTGCTACAAAATTTTTCATTTGAAGTGGTATACTGCTGCCTTAAGCATTGGCAAGTTTGATAGCTGGCAATGCCACTGCCATCCGTAGCCAGAAATCCAAGCAAACATGATAGGCCTCGCTCTCTGGGTGCGTAGGATGGCCCCCTATCACTCAGTAACATGCTAGCCAGCGCCTCAGACTATGTGACATGACACAATTGTAAATCGGATTTCAAGTGATGCTATTTGATGGAGTCGATTCCAAGAGTCGATTCCACAAAATACCAAAGAAAAACAAGTAATATGGAAAGATATTTTGAAAATATAAAGAATAAAGTATTAATTACACTTTGAAAAAAGATGGTTCTTTATGGGTTCTTTAGTAAAGAAATGGTACTCAAAGAACTTTCTACATGATTAAAGGGTTCTCTGCATGGCGAAATGGTTCTTCAGACTGATGGACAGTGTGCTGTAGATGGTTCTATATATAACCTTTTTGAAAAGGGTTCTATATAGTCCCAAAAAGATTCTTCTATTGTTACAAGCTTGACATTGTAACAATAGCAGAACCCTTTTTGGTGCTATATAGAACCCTTCTCAGAACGGTTCTATATAGAACCATCTACAGCATATTCTCCATCTCCATCTGAACGTTTTCATGATACAAAGAACCTTTTAATCATGCAAAGGGTTCTTTGAGTGTTCGTGGCTGGCTTCACATATCTTGAAGAAAGCACATGCTAGCCTTCATCCTCTCAATCTGGTAGAACTGGCCACCACTAAATTAAGGAGGAAATGAGGTAAACATGAAAAAATAAAAAACAAAAACAATGGTTCCTAAATCGTTCTCAGCATGGATGTATGGCTCTAGGAAAAATGGATTTTATTGGTATAGAACCTTTATATTATGTAGAGAGGTCTTTCAAGGTCCTTCACACTCATATGTCTCATTGACAAAAATGAAAAGAACCATCTATTTAAAAGGTTCTTCAAGGAACCAAAAGTGGCGCTTCTATGGCATCACTCCAAAGAACACTGTGTGGCTTGCTTGCCTATTTATTTATTTATTAGTCATTTCCAATTCCACCCACTAGTTAGGACTCCCCCAATCACACGATACTACCAGCGCTAGGAGGGCGAAGGCTAGCACAGGCTTTATCCGAGACCTGTGAAGTCAGCCACCGCATCTTTTCAAAATGCTGCTCACAGCCGAACACACTCGGAGGAAAGCGCCAACCGCCAATTCTGTTACGTCAGCTAACAGACGCCTGCGCTGACTAGAATCGAGCGATGGTGGGAGAGGGGGGGCCATTCTACCCACCAGAGAGTGAGGTCAATAGTGCTCTCTTGGACTCCTGGCTACAGATGGCTGTAGCATCATCAGCGATCGAACTCGCGATCTCCTGATGATAGGGCCAACACTTAAACGGTTGCACCACTCGGGAGCCCAGCATCTTTATTTTTAAGAGTGTAGAGAAAATGATTGTAAAAGGCCATATTTCGCTGAGCTGAGGGCTTATTTTTCCTCTAATTCTGTTCGCCATCCTTTTTCTATTACTAACATTAGCAATCCAGTGCCAGCATTCTCCATTGAGAAAAGAGAAAACAATTTATTACAGAAACGGTTATTTACACAAGCATAAGGTCGGCTGGGGGATGATCAGCTTCACATCCTGCTGTGGTTGCACAGACAAATATCCTACATGTTGTTTATTTTGGGCCTCGCCTCTGGATTCGTTTAATACTCCTTTAACTAAAGCCCCCTGCTAGCCTTGGCTCAGGCTCGTTCCTCATTATGATTCAGAGCCGAACTGCCACAGTGATTTCATTACTGCTGCTCCAACTTTACCACCCCATTCTCCTCAGCCCATCACTCCCAGCCCCCACACTCATTCTCTCTCCTGCCCTCTTTCAGTAGTCACCGTCTGCCTCGCTTTCTCTTGCCCTATCTCTGTTTATCAATATTCACCATCTCCCACCCCCAGATCTCATCTCCTGTGTCTCTTTCCTTATTTCTCTCTCTGCTCATCTCACCTTTCTGCTTTCTTGCCTCTACTCCACTATTGCCGAGTCTGAATATTCAATTCCTTGCACACTTCCCATTGACAAACAGCAGGTTTTAATGCCAAACAGACTGCAGCACTATCAGACTCCATGTCTAGAGGTATCTCCTGCTGCCTCCGTCTCAGCCACTTTACTCGAGTGTTAGCAGATTAAGGGCGTACTATAGCTGTAGCTTACTGCTCAGCCATTGGCTTAAGCTATGCTTGTGCTGACAAACTGTTGTTTATCAACATACATAAGTTCTAATGCTTTGTGCTTTGATGCTATAGATCATTGTGATACAAATGACAAAATACAAGTACGTCGTACTGTGAAGTACTTACAGGGCGAATGTTGTAGGCCATCAGAATAAACTTTTTGTCTGCTGACACCTGGAATTTCATGGACTTCAGGTCCTGAAACAGGAAATGCAAAAGCTGAGTTTGAATACTTAAAACTAGCACTGTAAAATGCATTATAAAAAGGTAGATATAAAGGTAGCAATTATAATAGTAGATACAAAGGTAGTAATTCAAATGCACCAATTTTGGAAAGCTATAATCAATCATAATTAATTATTATAATAACAGTCAAGAATGCAAGAATGTGCCAAAAGAAATTCTCTCTTTTTTTGTTTTGGTTTATTACTCAGTTTTGTCCCTAATTTATTCATGCTCACTTAAAGCTAGGTATGTCTTCCCCATCACACCATGCTAGGTGAGGGCGAGTACACGCTTCTTCCAGGTCACATGAAGCCGGCCACTGCATCGTTTCAAATTGCTGCTAATACAGCCTCAAAGGACAGCTTAATACACTTGAAGGACATCTCTAACTACCAGTTCTGTCACATGAGACAGACACAGGGTCATTCTACCTACCAAGGGAGAGTAAGGCCAACTGACCATTTGCAAATTATGATTGACATGCCTTTCAGCCAATCACAGTCATCTCTAAATGTTCTAGACTCCTCAAAAAAACCTGCAGTGAGAATAGCAGTGGCAGTAAATTAGTCAGAATTATCAGACTAAGAAATAGTGGAAAGCTGAGGAATATATAATGTCTGACACACGATTCTGATCATCTGGAAAATGGTGTTTTTGTTTCATTCCTGAAGTTGAAAAAGTTTTGGATTAAATTGTGACCACACTCATAGCTCAGTGGTAAAACTATCAACTGGCAGATTTCTGCTAGCTAAACTTTATCTAGTTTTATGTATTTGCTAAAAATCATTAAAAAACTTTCTAACGAATAAACAACAAAAATGTTGGGAATAGTTTGCTAGTACTAACTTATCTACTGATACATAAAAAAAACATGACTGAACTGTGTTATTAAAAAATAAAATATTAATGCACTCGTACACACAATTCTTTGTATTGTTTCATTAAAAGTGTGCTGAAAGATCTTGTGTGAAAGACAATGGGTCTTTCTAAGCAAATAACATAGTTCTTTAGTGCATCTAAATTATTCTTTAAGCTTTTTAGTGTTAGCACAAGTGTTACAAATGCTACCATGTATCTTGTACTGAAAGTTTGCCAGATGTAGCAACAATAACTAAAGAAGGCATGACTTTCTCAGAAACATACTCTCTTGGACTCCTTGTCATGGATGTGGCTGTGGCATCACCTAAGATTGAACCAGCATCATGGGCTATTTTTAAACATTGTTTTTATTGTCTATTGTCTCACTTTTGTGCATATAGTTCCTCCAGTTATATTTGTGTATTCAGTGAAAATAATTCAAAATCATGTCAAAGTAATAAAATTGGATCAAATCTTAGTGAAATTTCTTCATGATTTCATATGCTCAACTGTTTCTTCAAGAATTAAATTCTTAAGGAGTAGAATTTTTCTGAGGTCAGAGATTTACACCCTTGTTCAAATGATTTACTCCTTCTCATTCTATCTTGAAGAGCATGGAGCAGATTCAGGCTGAGACGTAAATTAAAATCCCTGTTTGTGGGAAATAAGAGGTCAAAAGATACAAATTGTAAGGTTTTTGCCACGCATTTAAGTGAAAACATTTCTGCCGTTTTGAGGAGCCCATGCTCAGCTCAGAGGCATTGACCCACATAAGTCTCTCAGTGTCACCCAGCCGTTGCATTCAAAGTAATGCTCCTGCTAAAGCAGTCTCTTTGAAGCTGTGTGTTAGGGGTGCAAACAGTGAGCCAAACAGAGTGAGGAAAGAAAGAAAGAGAGACAAAGAATGAGAGATTAAACTGTCAGAACATTCAAATGCCATTCACCACTACTTTTTCTTTCTTGTCCTTTTTTGGAAGGCAGGGGGTGGGATGGGCTTTTTGGAGCATTTAACAGGCACTCTGTATTCTCCTTCCATCCGGCCACTTTCCTGTTCAGTCTGGCTGTGACTGCTTGGAAATATGAGTAAATCGATGTGGCCATACATCTTGGTCCCTTCACTTGCCCCAGGGGGATGTAATTCACTAGAGTGCTGTTGCCCAGGAGTGGTCGTTGAGCAGCTGTGGAAGAGGATACGTCCTTTTGCATGTACATATGTGTGGTAAGCATACTGGTCAGTCTGGTGCCTAGGTTATATTGATGTGTTGTATGAATAGTATCAATGTGTTCTTTGTTGTGTGTGAGTAACTCACCATGGTGCTGTTGTCTAGTAGGGTGGTAGTCAGATTGGTGTTGAAGTTGTGGATGAGAACATGGCCTTCCTGAGTACACAGCACAACCTCATTCTCTGCAGGACACACCATTCAGCACAGGTCAACAAGCAATCCTTCAGCCACAGCAGGGCCAATTCCATTTCACTTGAAAATGGCAATGCTGAAAAACAGCTGTTTACTAAATGGGGCCATTTTCCCACTTCTAATTCCATCTCCTTGGTTCAGTAATTGAACTTCAAAATGTTTTTCTAATATCAAAATATGTCAACTGCAAAGTCTCTAGAATCATTAGAGACAAAAATAGCTTTAAATGATACCAGATTAATGCTTATGTATTCTTAGTTGTTAGTATTAAAAGACTGCTGCTGTATCTGTATCATGTGATTTTCATGCTGGAAAACTAGTCCCATTTTTGAAAGAAAGAATTACACAGATTTACAACTTCATTTACAAATACTTTTTGAGAATTTATGAAAGGGCACTACCAAAATATGTTTCACACTAATAGAATTCAGCAAGCCTCAATTTTTAATACATTTTAGAAAAATCTAAATTGTTTCTATGGTCATCAACCATACGTTATATATGCAGTAGATAGATTAGAATAAAATAGTAAAGCATTCCTATAACAAGTAACAGGGTAACCCTAGAAACCATGCCATAAATAAAAAAAAAATATCTTCCCTCCTCAAAGCCAATGTGTAACTGACCTTCTCTGTAGATTTAAAAGCAAACAATCAATTTTTCAAATGTGATCACATGCTAATAGCAGGTCTACTCCCCTGAAGTCAATCCATTCAAAGAAGACAAGCCTGTCTAAATGATCCCCTATCATTCACTCTTCAGGACATCACTGTGTGTACACACTCTGTTGAGCCTTTACCATTGAGCCAATTCACGCAGGGGTCATGAACTTTGAATTCCTTGCTCTCCAGGTCTTCCACAGTGAGGCAGGAGTGCAGAAGAAGGTGAGACTCATCTGCAGCACAAGAAAGAGAGCACAAAGTCAGCATTCACAGCAAGAAACTATCCATTCTAGAACACCTCAATAGTGGCGTCTTTTTCTGTTCAATGCAAATGCATGCATATAACGTTTTTCAACAGTCACTGTAGCTCACAATGTAGCTTTACAGAAATCGGAGACCAAGCTCCAAATGAGCAAACTGAGGTCGCTAGTTTCAGGAAAAGCTCCCTTAGAGCATGAGAAATAAACCTCAAAAGTGGAAGCCATCAGCTGCTTGACGTGATATAAAAATTACAATAAAGAAATGAGAGGTATGATTGTGTCTTACAGCTGTTTTTAAGCACTTATGTCAGAAACAAAGCTTTTTAAATGCTTGGTGTGGATGGGACAAATGTGTCTGACTTACTTTGTTGACAATTTTGAGTTTTCTGCATCTTTGTGCATTTGTGTGAATGAATATCTTATGCAGATGGTCTCTGTCCACAGACCTCACACACTCTCTCCCTCCATAATCTCATCCTTCCTGCTCTTCTACTCCTCTATCTTTCCTTTTACAGCCTTCTGCTTCCTGTCTCTTCTATTCTTCTCTTGTTCATGCACCCTGCTTCCCTCCACTTTTTTTTTAATCATTCTCCTACACCATTATATTTATCTTGTTTTCTCACCCTAATCTGTTTTCTTGTTTGTTTTCGCTTTAGCCCAACCATCTTTCATATTTCTCTTACCAGGAGTTAGGAGAATGATTGAAAGGCTGACCAGGGACAGAACCCCCAGGATGACCACCATGGCGATGCAAATGCCCTTCCAGTTTCTTGGAGGCCCACCAGTGCTCCCCAGGTCCTGGCAAAAATGAAAAGGTGGGAGCATTAAACTAACCAATACAGAAAGAGTATGGTTCGATTCTTTATTCTTGGTTCCTGATTTGATATTATATTAGTGTGTTCCAAAAGCTGAGCTGCGGTGTAAGTGGGCTGAATTTTTTAGACTGCTATGTCATTGAAGACTGAGATCTTTCGAAAACAGCACAGAAATGCAGCCTACATTCTGACAATTTTCGAGGAAGCTAGCAGAGCATCTTTCACAGCTTAAAAAATCCAGTAAAATATATTATAACATAAACAGAACGTTTTTCCTTAGTTATGTATCTGTTTAAGAGGGTGTGAAATGCACCTGCTTTTGGTGAGTTTAACAGTTTTAGTTTGCAGGACAGTATTTAATTACAAACAAACTGTTGCTTACAAAAAATGGAGGAGTTTCGAGTTCTGACTTAGTTTTTCCACAACATTTCGTTTGTATGAGGAATCACAGCGATTTTGGCTAGTTAGCGTTTTTATTAGTCTAACCAGACAACGGTCTAGCTCCACCCACAGGTTCCAGCTCGGCATGCGTGGTATCCCAGCAAGAACGGGAACTGTATTTACTATGGATAATCAGATACAGTACGTCACATGACAGCGGAAATAACCAAATGTGTGATCACAGATTTGTAATTGTACAGTATCTCACTGTGTGGTAGAAAACCACCATTAGTTGCACATATGTAGTTAAGAGAGTGATAAATTGAAGTGTGGACCCTCATACAGGCCCCTACACGGTTAGAAATAAAGGTACTGTGCAGGTATGTTTCTCGTTCATCAAGTGTATTCATCATTGTAAATTGTTTTACCCTCAAAAAGGTACAACAGTTGTTTTAAGGTCCAGATGTGCACCTTAAATAAGTTTTTCCCAGTGAAAAGTATATATTTGTACCTTTTTGTGACCTAATGTTTTAAAACGGAACAATAAAATTGAAAGTCTGAAGACGAGACGGGCTGTGTGGAGTCAATACAACTTAGAAAATATAATTTCAATGGTTTATGGTTCAATTATGTTCCCTGACTATAGGTAGAGATGTACCCTTGAGGGTACCACCCCAGTGGCAATAGGGGGTACTGCCCCAGTGACAGTTTAGTACCTTTTTTCCCGAGAGCGTAGGGTTTAAGCGGTTAAATGCAACCTCTGGGTGTACAAACAACAAACGCTGCGTAAAACAGGTAATCGAATTGTTTCGTTATATGTCATGCCATGACGCACTGTTGCACCCTTAAAATATAGACAATTAAACTATTCTTTGTGTTTGTTGCTGGTATGCTTAAGAATGTTCTTTCTGAAGTGAAATCCTTTCACCAGTTAAAAGAGTACATCTACTTTTAAAACGAAGGCTCAGTAAGATTAAAATTTACACTATTTTAGTTTTATTTACTACGCTATTTGATCACTTTACATGTTATTGCTTGAGGTTTCCTTTTCGCTAATGTGCTCAAACTCGTATGCAAGGACTGCATGAATGCAATATTGCCACAATATTCACAATGTTACTTTGTATCAATACATTCAATACATCACTCAGCACTAAGCGGCCACCTACATTCTGTGCTTTTGCCTATCAACTACTATTGTGGTAAGGTCAAAATTAGAAATAAATTAGAATTAGACGTAAATTAGATTTTTTGCTGAATTTGTCGCTTCACCAGCCAAGGCAAAAGTGAGAGGACCAACACAATAACTCAAGACAGGCAGCACAGTATCAATCACAAACAAACACCAACAGCTATTTCAAGGCTGGTGGAAAATGATGGGCTGTGGAAGCAGGAGTGGAGTGGGGCCTAAGAATGCACACATGCATCATAGACTGCCCCCATAAACCTTTGCTTTTGTTACTGCTGTACAGTCTGAGCCAGTGTACTCACACAGAGAGGCTAAACTGAGTGTTTGCTCTCGTCACTCCTCAAGGCTGATGTAAAAAGTGATCAAGTGGAGAGCTTGTAGAGTGAAAAACTGCCCTGTCGACAGCTGTATCAAAGCTTCAGTTCATGTAGGCCCTAAGTGTTTAGTATACTGGAGCAAAAAATGACATAGCAATTATCTGACTGAATGAGCTCTCTGACTTTCTCTAATCTTTAGTTCGGACACAAAAATTATCCCAAAAATGCAAGTCTGGAGGTCTTCCACAGGCTTAGAGATTCTCTGCAGCAGTTGTTTGTCATGCCTTGATGCTTTATGGCGTGCAGGGCCGGAGTGGGACTTGTTTTCAGACTGGGAGTTACATGATACAGACCAGCCCACCCCAAACTCTAATTGTATTTCTTAATTGTATTCCAGAGGCATTTGATGGTTTCCTAATGGGATCTAAATGTGTCCTACAGGAAACTAGTGGTTTCTATTGGTAACCACTAAGCCAATTCCCATTAGACAACAAAACTATCAGGTTTTGATCCTAATTGTTTGATGTATGGCAATTTGTGGAACTGGCAACCTCTCTGGTGGAAATACGTAACTGCACAAAACGTCTAAAAAAACATTTTGTAAGGTGGGTTGTGCTGCTGTCCCCTTTCCTGAGCAAATTAATCTGATGATTGATTGCACATGTGGCTTTCTAAGTGTGGACGTAAACTGCTCTTTTTTGAGGGGAAAAGTATGGATATGTTACCTGCTTCACCACAGATAACTAATAGCTAGCTAACATTACTATTCATGCGAGAGCTGGGATGCATGTGTCCATTAGTTATGTAAGCATCCACTCAGTCTTATACATATTGAGGCAATGTTAGCTAAGTATATTTGGTTGCAAAAAAGAAAGGAGACAAACAGTAGCACTGGAAACTACCTGAGAATAATGGCTAGCCTGGTTTATCAAATAATAGAGCAAAACAAAGCACCATTAGCAAAGTAATTTGCTAATATTAGGGAATTAGCAAGCTAACACTGGTTATAGTTCTAAAATATTCCCAATTACAAGGGTACATTGCATTACGTTACAAGGGTAACATTAACTTTCACTACAGCAATAATCTGGCTGGTTATTTTCGGTAGCTAGCTAGCAAACAACCAACATAACTTACCCATTCAGCAATAAAAACCCCAGAGTTGACATCACCCCTGAATCCCCTCAGGTCATGGGGCTGTTGCCATGACTGAAAAGCCAAGCCGATGTTGATTTTGGTCTTAGTTCGACCTCTGTTGCTCTCCCTTTTAGCTTGCCAGGGTTTTTATTGCTTTTTACAGTAATTACATGCTAGTGCCCATACAAGCATCTGAATGCAACTGCTATAGTATTTAAGGTGGGACAGATTAAGAACAAGAAGCTTCAGCTTCATCTAATCTCTTTCCACTGTATGAGACTCCATTATAATCAGCAAACCAGACCTGTAACACCAGAGATGAGAGTTGCTGGTTTAACCCTTAAATAACTACAGACACTTTTGTGCTGCTATGCACAAGTTTATACTCAAGCTTATAGTAGCCGGCCCAAAACATTACTGGCCCACCAGGAATTATCCAGAATCTCCTGATTACCCACTCCAGCATTGATGGCATGTTGCCTATGCTGTTGCAGAAAATAATATGCCTGTGACATTTCTTCAGTACTGTCTCAGAAGTTTTGCTACAAAACACTTGTGCTATGTTCCAACCTTGGGAAACTTCACTGTGATTGGCTGAGCACCCTTTAAATGCGGGTGCTCAGAAAAACTAAATATTTTGTGAAATATTGTGTATCTTGTGTTATATCTTGTGATATATTATCTATCCTGTATGTTGTGTATCTGATCTCCTTCTCTGAGCTATCACTCTTAAAAATGGTTCTTCTAGGGGTCTTTAGTGAAGGCAATGGTTATATATAAAACCATGAACACTCAAAGAACCATTTTAATGCATTAATAATTCTTCACACGGTTAAATGGTTGTAAAATGATGGTAAACCAGTTATATATTGTTCTTTAAGAATCTTTTTAAAAATGGCTCTACTGATGGAAAGATTTAATAAAACATTCCCTGATTAATAATCAATAAACTAAATATTGGCTAACTTGAGCATTTGGAGATCTCCTAAACAAGGTAACATTGGGAAGCAGGTTATAGACTGCATGCGTTTGGAATATTACCTCTAAAGAGGATTAACTCAAGGAACGCTTGAACTCACAAAAAAGAAACTGTACAGATTGTAGCTACAAATTATGGCTGAAAGGAAGGGAATTGTTAGATGACAGTATAAACTATAGCTGAAGTGAAAACTACTAAAAGGGAATTGTATTAGATCACAGTACAAATTATAGCTGAAGTGAACTCCTGAACTTGGGTGAAGAAGATGTGTAAGATGACCCTGTGAGGATGGAACAGCCTGGTACACCAGGTCAGAATGGTTTTTAAAAAAAGGACATCATGAGCGTTGGCTTTAAAGGTTGCCAAAAAGGGTGCAGGGTTTGGATACAATGGGGACTAAGGTGGTATGGAATTGTTTAAAAAGGGGTGGGATGATTATTTCATCACCCCAAAGGGCAATAAAAAGGGATGCCTCGAGGTGATATTTGCATTGTTGTTGTCCGGGAACCATTTTGCCACTTAAAGCTCAATAAAGAGAAGGCCTTTTCCTTCCTTCCACAAGAACTCAGCGGCTGAAGTCTTTTTATTCCTTTTTTATTCTTTTTTATCCTTTTTTTACTTTTTGTTGATATTCTTTGATTCTTTTAATTCTTTTTAAAGAAGTTAGACTACAGATAGTTATTAGGGCAATAGCATAGAAGATATTAGAGATATTCATATATGTCTAGACCCTGGCCAGAAGAGACAGCTCTTGGTCGTGACACTACATAGCACCAAAAATGCTTCTGCTATTCAATAACTATTTTTGGTACTATAACGACCCCTTTATGCTACAGGTTATATAGGGCCTGAACGTCATGAAACTTTGATTTTTCAATAATAATTTCCATCTTCATAGGTTAGCAAGTAAAACATTTTTAAACATTTTTATTGTGTTTAAATGCTGTTTTTTATTGTGACAGTTGTACACAATTTTATTT